GCCAGTTCCTCCAATTTTTCCGCTTCTTGGCCTCTTCCCTTTCCTTTCTTTGTCTTTCTTCTTTTTCCTTCTTTGCCTGTATTTCTCTTTGCTTTTTATCATCCTCTTCCTTTTTCTTTGCCTGTATTTCTCTTTGCTTTTTGTCGTCCTCTTCCTTCTTCTTTGCCTGTATTTCTCTTTGCTTTTTGTCGTCCTCTTCCTTCCTCTTTGCCTCCATTTCTTTGCGTTTCATCTCCTCTTCCTTTCTTCTTTTTTCATCTTCATCAGCCTTCTTTTTCTGTTCTTCTTCCTTCTGTTTCCTCTTCTTCTCTTCCTCCTCTTTCCTACGTTTTCTTTCTTCCTCTTTCTGTTTCCTTTTTCTTTCCATTTCTTTTCTCTCTTCCTCTTTTTTTCGTGCATATTTTACATCAACGGTCTCTAGACTATCTGCTCATTTATCCACGTCTTGTTTTAGGGCAATAAGACCCTCTACCGACACGTGACCATTTCTTTCCAATTCCTTTGTTATGCTGTCTACCTCGATCATAATTTTTCTTAACTCTTGTTGCTGGTCACTGATTTCCTGCAGAGCTCTGAGTTGTTTAAGCTTTTCACTTTCTGTTCTGTGTACATGCTCTGGACCTTCCTTATTTGTGCTTACATTGTCAGACGCTCTGTAAAAATGACATGAAGATTACAAACTTACGTATGTATCATGTTTTGAAAATAATGTTCCCCTAACGAATGAATTTTCAAAACTACGTGTATTTACATCAGTTAACAATTAACGGGATTTTCGCTGTTCTATCGAGTTTTTATAAGGTACGTTGTATTTGTTACAAATCCTACCATAACGAGCAACTCATTTTTAGCTCTACTGGCCAGAAGAGCTTAAGCAATAGTTAGGTGTCCGTCGTCCGTCCTTCTAGCTGTCTGTCTGTCTGTAAACAATTTTTCAAAAATGCTACTCCTTCTACAGTTTGGTCCGATTTCAATATAACTTTGCACACAAGTAGACTACACTAAGATACTAGTACACATTTTTGATATCCATGAAAAGTGTTGCCATGGTTACTAAAAATAGAAATGTCTGTGAAATACTTTTAAAATGCAACAACTCCCAGAGTTTTGGTCTGATTTCAATATAACTTGGCACACAAGTAGACTACACTAAGATACATAATTCTGTTTATCGGTTTTTGATTTCGATGAACATTGTCGCCATGCATGGTTACTAAATTAGAAATTTCTGTGAAATACTTTCAAAATGCTACTTCTCCTACAGTCTGATTTCAGTATAACTTTGCACACAAGTAGACAACACTAAGATACATCATTCTATTGATCGGTTTTTATTTCGATGAATGGTGTTGCCATGGTTACTAAAAATAGAAATTTTTGTGAAATACTTTCAAAACACTACTCCTCCTACAGTTTTGGTCTGATTTTAATATAACTTAAATTGGCATACTTAGTCTAGTAGACTACACTTAGTCTAGTAGACTACACTAACTCATCTAAGACTTTAGATGGGATAGAAATTTCCGGTTGGGGGTATAAATGAACGATAAATGAGTGGTTTACAACAAAGAGGCTCGACCAGAGACGTCTGAAACGATTTAATTGACAAGAAAAAAGTCTCTCAAAGCGAACGATGTCATTTTAAAGTAGGTTAATGATTGATATATTAACAAAATACGTGCTTGAAGCAGGGGTGTCTAAAATTGAGTTAGGTACATGTACCTTGTGGTAAAAGTAAGTAGGGGACTAGGGATGCCCCGTATACGAAACAAGTGCCTGTGATGAATACGGTCGGTTGAAGTTAAATATAAGAAATATAAACTAGCACCTGAGATCAGTTAATTTACTTGTCGTGTTTCTTGTTGTGTCTCTTTGTGCAGGTTGAAGATCAAAATCCGATGAACTTGTAGAAGGAAACACCTGATTCTGGTTTGACTGTGAAGGGTTGGAAGCTAAAATAAAAAGATTATCTTTTACACTTTCATAAACATTGCTGACTATATTATTATTGCTGATTATTCCACAATGTTCTTATTTTTTCCGTAAGTATCATTAGTTTTTCTTTACCTATTAATTTTGAAATGAGTGTCTTCATTTCCTCTGCTAAGTCTGTGTTGAATAATTCAACCGCTCTTCGTAAATCGAGCATTTCTTTCTGGATTCGTCTGACATAATTGTTGACTTGTTGGATTACATCAGAAGTTACTTTAGTCGCCTGAACAATTTCTTCCTGAAATGCATCAAACTGATCGGAACTGTTTGGTATCTTAAAATCTGTATGGCACTTCCTCCGTACTTGCATTTGAGATATTGCCTTTATGTCGGTCATTTTGTGTTTATCCGTGTACGGAACAGCTAAAGCATACTAGCTTATTTTCAAAAACTTCCTCTTTCGTATCAAGGAACATTGAATTCTGCGTAATCGATTTAAATCCGAAGTAATTTATAGCGTCCATGTGATTTAAAAATTGCAACAAAGAATTGTTCATTTGACCTTTACTGTTATAACAGTATCAAACTTATATTTCTACAATTCGTGGTATACCATTGTTTGCATTAGGTCACCTGCAACTCAGATCAACATGCTTTTAAAAATGACCTCTGTTGTATCCCCCCCCCCTCTGAAAATTTTATTAGAAATAGTAACTTGATTTAACTACATGGCTTAGCATACCTATATTCTGACACATCTGATGTCACTTTTTGTTTTTTAAATTTTAAATACTAGTATTGCTCCTCTACGGATTACATATATCTATACATGCAGTCAATGTACTAGTATTTTTAAACAATATAGACGGACAAATCAAAACTTATCAAAAGGTGATATATGTATCAAATAACGGAATATTGGTGATAAGCTGGGAATTCGTGTATTTTTAGGCAGTTATCGTGTCTAATAAAAAAAAAAATTCTAATAAAAAATTTCAGGAAGGGGGAGGGGGTACACCGTCCAAATATAGTGCCGATAGTCTAATACTTTGATTTTGTCATAAATTTTCTTGGAAGTTGAGGAAAAAATTTGATGAAAGTTATTAAATATTTTATTTATCTTATAAGGTTTGGGTCATGGGTTGGATTTTCTTATAACTTACAGCACTGGTATCCAGATCTCTTCGACCAAAAATTCCCCAGATCAATTTTAAATTGCGTAACCCAGTGTCTTGAAAGTATCCTGACATCACTCTTTGGCCAATAAATAATTAAGGTAATTTTGAAAATGAAAATAACATATAGTTGAAATATATCTCTGTTTACATTAACCTATTATTGCTTTTGTCGTTTACTGATTTTTATTTGAAAATTAATCAAATAAAAATCAGTAAACGACACTTTTATTAACATGAGTTCTATGTTATAACTCGAAATTTATCATTTTTTAAATTTTTTCGCCGGCTTTTACCCATTGTACGAAATTTAGCTCAATGGGCTTGCACATTGAAGTTAACTGAAGAAGATATTTTACAATAGCTGAGGTTTTGAGAGGAAATACATGTAAAAGGAAAACAAAATGAATGACTAAGAATCAGAGAAAAAAATCTGAGAAATACTTTGTATACAGGACTTACAAGTGTAATGTAAGTTTCTTTTTCCTAAAATGTTGGAACTCTGTTCACCGCTGATTGATTTAATGATACTTGTAAGTTCCAGAATCTGTCTTAAAAAATCTGAGACACGTGGAATCATCATCTTACGGGGGTTGGGTTGTATGTTTGTAGATTTCGTGGGTCTTATCCTTATCCACGAATTTACATCCCCATTAGCGAAAACTTTGTCAGTGTATCGTCTTTGTTTTTTGTTTTTTTTTCCTAATTAATTTTCATTACATGAAGACGTCCTAACGACCCAGTAAAATGTTACTTACGGACATTGACCTCCATGCACAAATCAAAATGATTGCACACATCCAAGAAAGTTCAGTCTTGATTGAGGGTGAACTCAATAAACTTATAAAGGTGAAATTAACGCTGATCACTGTTATTGCCCAAAGAGTGGCGCGATGTCCGCGGCTTTCAGGGGGATGGATCTAAAATTTTAAAGGCTTTAAATTAAAACCAGGAAAAAAAGAGTTCATAGAAATACGCCTTTTCACCTTTTCTTTTTCGAGATAGAGGTGGGGAATACATTCTATATCAGGTACGCTCAAAGCGAAGAAAATTAATAATGATAAAAATTTAATTAAAAGAAAGTAATAAAGTAATAAATTTAAAGAAATGTTCGAAACTGCGATACTGAACTTTTCTTCATGATCTTAGAAAACAAAGGTAGGACGTTTGTAGAAATTATAGAGGCAGGGGCAGACATTTTTGTTTTACAATTGTAAGTAGTGTAAAAAGAAAAAAAAAAGTTTCCGGAGATATATATATATATATATATATATATATATATATATATATATATATATATATATATATATATATATATATATATATATATATAATGATTATCTGATAAAAATTCCATCTGAGCTGTTTGATATTCTTAAATGAGTTAAGATGATTAATTTAGAGCAAACTAAATGAAATATCCAAGAAATGCAAATTAAAATGACAAGTTAATTAAAAATCTTTTAAAATTACTCAAATAAATGCACGTTGACACAATCTTACTCAGTTAAAGTATAATTTATCAAGAGTGATAAGTCAAGAATTTAGATAAGTCTGAAATTTTACCAAAAAAATCATTCTATCGGAAGTTACAACCCCTTCAGTTCCTAACCCCCTCTCCCACCCCTTTTTTCCCCCGAAAAAAAGCATAATTTACGTCTCCTTTCTTTTACGAGAAAGAAGAACGGGAGAACAGCAAATATAAGATAACAGATTTAGTATGGTTTTGAATGTAGAGTAAGACAAAAGCTTATTTTTTTAGTCCAAATATTTAAAAAAAAAAAAAAAAAAAAAAAAAAAAAAACTCTAACGAACGACTTGTCTAAAGTAAATCAAGAACTCTTCTGTGACGGAGGTACGCGGGAATAACAATCTGAAACTCGATCTCATCTGATTGACTCATGTCAGTCATTAATCTATGATGATCAAATGGAGGAGTTTGTAAGAAAACTGGTGAAGAAGTCTGATTTAAGGTACTGGAGTACGAATCATCAGTTTATTTCATTGCATTACAATCTCTTTTACACCTTCAAATACATTTATCACTATTTCTATTTCCTATAGTCGTTCTTTGCCAGTATCGAATAAATTTTTATATAAATATTCTTGAAAAACAGTGACGGTTTTGAAATTTCTTACTAGGTAAACACAATAAAAGGATGAATATTATAATGTAATCAGGTCCAGCACAATCTCTTGATTTAGCTATATAGCTTGAAAAAGCTATATAGCTTTATCAAGCTATTCAAAATAGCTTGATAAAGCTATTTATGTGCAGTTTTTCAGAAAAAAAAATTTTGTAAGAAAAAGACAAAAAGTCACACGTATTAGACTATTCATATATGTACTTTGGGCTATCAAAACAACAACTGAAATCAAAGATAGTTCTAACATTGCAGCATTTGAATTCTTTTAAGCAAAAGATGAATTTCCATTGTTTGTGTAACTGTACACCACCTTGTGTGCGTTGAGGCATGGATAAGTATGATTGCTTCTCATTGTACTGAATTATTACCAATCCATTATCTTGTTGACCATAATTGGCCTCTTTTATAATTTCAATGAAGAAGTAACTGTATCAATTGCTTTATATAGCCCCAAAACTTTTAGAACTTTGAGTACAAAGTCTATTAAGGAGACGCAATTTGATGAGTGATTTTTACATGCATTGTTTCCAGAAGAGTTCAAGGTTGAATATAATCACTGCACCAAGGTGCGACTTTTTGTGCATGCTGAGAAAATAATACATTTAAGAAAAAAGTGTGATAAAATAGCTAAATTAAGCTATTCTGAATAGCTTAATAAAGCTATATAGCAAAATCAAGCTATATAGCTAAATCAAGAGATTGTGCCGGACCTGGTAATGTGTAATGTCTCTGTAACATCTGCATGATTATTTTCCACAGTAGTTTACAATTTGAAACGATGACCAAGCACAAGCAATAGAAAACGAAAGTGTATAAACAAATGTGTCTAAATCAATGTGTTGTCAATTATCAATACTGTAAAAGTGGTTATTTACGCATGGGGGAAATTTACAACATTACGCGGTAAGCTTAGAACCGCGTAAAATACCCCTGCGCGTATGGTCACAAAATTTCAAACTTCTGGAATCATTCAAGACTGTTACTTACACTTTTAGATGGGTCGAACCAGTTGTATATTAATCATGGTATTGAACGCACGTGAGTAGATAAATACATCACAAACAGTGATGAAAACGTAACTGTTCTTTTTTTTTAATTGTGCCATGAAAAATGCATCTTTATATTAAATATTTTAAAGCAACGTCACGCAATTAAAGCTTCAAAACATCTTTATATTAAATATGCATCTTTATATTAAATATTTTAAAGCAATGTCACGCAATTAAAGCTTCAAAACATCGATACAGTAACTCATTTTCATTTCTTTTATATGTACGTGTATGTCCCTCTTAATTTCAAATAATTAGTCCAAAATGTTACACAAACTCATAGTCACTACAAACATACCTATTGAATTAATTGTAAACACTCTCCACGCAGATACATATAAGTAGATCCTGCTTTGAAGTTTGAGCTTGCGTTAATAATTACAATAAAGCGTGCACCAGTTGTTCACACTTCACCGCTTTTGACTGTGCAGATCGCCGTTATATTTAGCAATTCAACAGTATAAATTCTATTTGTTTTGTGTCTTTGTAATTATTTTTAATTATTTTTTTTTCTTATTCATGCGTGTAAACAACTTGACATTTTCAAAGGGGAACAACTCGATGTTAGTAACGATGGCCACGTAAATTTTTCTCAGTAACTCGTGCGACCGCATATATTACAACCTCGCGTAATGTTTGATGGTCACAAACGCGTACTTAACAACCAATGTATATAACCACTTTTAGAGTATTAAGGATAATTGTTACAAGTTAAAATATAAAAATAATTGATGTTTGACTTTTAAGTGAAATTGATTGTTTTCCTAGTTTTGAATCATGAATTTTTGAAGTTCAAAAAAATGTTTTTTTTTAAGGATGCAAAAACCTGAAAAGTGGGCAGATGTGAAGATGTTACCAAAACAAATTACAAGCAAAGATATTACATTAAAATTGTTTCTCAGAGATGGTTGAAGTAAAAATCTACAAATAAAAAAAAAGATTTTTGAACAACTTTTCAACTGATAGGTAGATGGACAGAATGTCAGACACCCGGCCCAACGACACCTCGGCCTATTGCATCTCGGCCCAATGACACCTCGGCTCAGACAGGTCGGCCCAAATTTTAAGACAGGTCAGCCCATCTATAAGACACCTCGGCCCAAGCAAAATTTCATTAAAAAATATATTTCCAATTTGCTACTTAAATAAAATATTGATTAAAAAAAAACTAATCGAATATGCGATCAATTTTTTTCCAGATTATAAAAAAACCTTCCAAGAGCATTTTTACTATAATCAAGGAATGAGAAGACATATAATTAAGGTGCTAACTGATAAACAAACAAAATGCCGCGGCAAATCCTTTGGAGTCCCAAGTGCCTGTCATACTGGTGACAATTAATGAGGGGTTAATTACGAGCAGGCTTAATTGTGAGACAGTACATTTACATCCATTGAATATTTTCTATTTTATTTCCTAACGAAACATTTACGAAAGTTAACATTTTATCAAACAGTTAATAGAACTTTTTACAGCTGATAACCATGGGACAGTAACTTTTTTACAAGTCTAAAGTAAAGGCATGGGACAATTTTTTTTTTAAATAGGAATGCCATGGGACATGGATTTTTTTTTTAATGAGAATTTAGTTTTGTACCGGTCCCATCATTGTGTTAAATTTTGCCTGGTCCCTAAAATGCCCTTTGTACATTCATAAATTCATTTACATCGCTAAACTAACTCGAGTCTGTTTTTCCCAATGCTTCCTCTATCAATGATTATGTGTGCTTTTCAGTCAATGAAACATAAAATTTTAATGTAAGATTAATAGTTTCAGCCATTTTGAAGATAAAAATTAACCTCCCAACCAAAAAAAAAAAATTATTTAAATGTAATCCATTTCTTTTCACGAATTATTGAGCTATCTCAAATGTTTCAAATCGTCAGAGAAACCATGCAAAATGATACGATAACATACCATTCTTATAATAGAAATATATAAAATCGTAAGAAAGAATTCCTAGTATGTTGAAATCTAGTTTTACTAAGCATATATATTGTGCATTTTCCTCAAGAGAGAGATGCAAGTTAATCAATTATGATGAATTATCTATCATAAACCGCCTCCCCCTTTCCAATTTGATTCTTAATGAAGAAAATCATTTAATTGTCAGAAAGAATAATTATATCTATAATAATATCAATTCAGACATTGGATTAATTATTTCTATCACAAAATTTTGCTTGGGCCAAGGAGTCCTTTATATGGGCCGACGTGTCATTTATTTTGGGCCGACCTATCAGGGCCGAGGTGTCAAACGTGACGGGCCGAAGTGTTGTTGGACCGAGATGTCTGTCGACCGATGGACATGGTAATAGTGTGCTTATGACATTATGAAAAAATGAAGTTCTTTAAAAGAGGGTCATAAAAAATATAAAAGAAAAAGTATAAAATATTTGCTCTTGAAATTTAAACACAGGCATTTGAAAATCTCGGAATTATTTTCTGATATTTTTAATGATCGAAGCCCTAGAGGGGCTTGAGTTATCTAAAAAGATGCTAGGTCATTGATTTACTCAGTTTAAAAACACAAAAATATATCAACTGTGTAAGGAAAAACATTTCTAGAAACAAAAATGAAGCTTATCTTGAAAAAATATATATATACAAAGATATTTAGCATAAAATGTCGGATTGTATTCTGTGACAAAGAATAATGAGTGATGCTCTGCAGCCAAAACAGTTTCTATAGTTAAACAGATTTTGTTCTTTTTTTGTGTAGGAATCTCACTGACAGGTAATTAAGTTTTCCAATGACAGTCAAAGTGTCGATGAGTTCATTGGTTACTCTAAAAGGTGACACAGGTTAACCACAGTGATTCATTTACCATGGGTCAAGAGGACCCCTATTAATGCCAACAATGAGTCCTATGCCAAAATCAATGCGTCCTAAGCCAAGAGTATTGTATATTAGATATTGCAGAGGAAATTCTGGTGAGATATAAAGGTGCAAATGATTTATTGTACCTTCGAGTGGTTTATACTATCATTGAATTAGAAATAAGAGTACATGATTTTGTGGCATGAGAAAAGATCGTTACACCGACAAAGAGAGAGAACAGATAACAGATAAGAGAGAATTCCCATGGGTACAAATTGCGCCCGGTTATTAGCAGACCCATTTAATTTTTTGTATTCATATGAAGCAGAATTTATTCAAAAACTTCTACATGAGAATATGAAAACACTTGCTGTGGCCTTCAACTTGACATTTCGATAAATCAACGACGTATCATCAATTAACAATAGTTACTTCCATTCATATGTTGACTAGATATATCCCAGTGAGCTTGAAATAAAAGATACCACTGAGCTTGAATAAAAAAAGATACCACAGAGTCTGACACATCTGTTTCATATTTAGATATTTTACTAGAAAAAGACATTAATTGTAACCTATCAACAAAGCTTTATGATAAACGTGACGACTTTAACTTTTCAATCGTCAACTTCCCTTACTTATGTAACAATATACCCTTATCACTTGCATATGGGGTTTATGTCTCTCAGTTGATTCTAGGGATGCTCGATTTTATCGGTATACCGGTATATTGTGATTTTTCACTGCGTGATACGTATCGTGATACGGAGACTAAAATACTGGTATTTGGTACATAACTATAAATTCCGGAAATTATTCATTTATTTGTTCAAACTATTGAATGACAATTATAGGAAGTGTAAAAAAGGTTGAAAACAGTTAAACAACGACATCAAAATATGATTTATATTAAATAAATGAAAATTTAAAAAGTAAAGTTATGTTCATAGCATATTTTTAAGAAATGTTATGGAAATTCATTTGAAATTGTAGTAAAAATTGCGTTTAAAAATATCATGATTTATCGTGATATTTTTGGAAAAAAAATCGTGATATATCACGATACGAAACTTTTGCTGATACCCATCCCTAGTTGATTCGATACAGAAGAGCATGCTCTATGTATACAGCGATTTTTTTCTACCCATTGGGAAAGGGCCCAGTACCATTTCATTGGGAAAAATAGCATTGAAGTAGAACAAAGGAGAATTTTCTGTCATTTAAACAAATAAAAACGTATAATCTATTTTGCATTTATTCCAACCTCATTACCTATTATTCCGTTTTTTAAAGAATAAACAACAAATGTTTATTGTTTTTCATACCAATGTCCCTTGTTTTCTTATTTTCATGCTTTCAATTTGTCAAAATATATGACTACGCTGTCTACACCACAGGTCTCGCCATAATACGACTTATCTCTACTTTCAATTTAAGTGGAAGTGAAACAATTAGTCAACTTGTACAATGTTTCATATAAAAAGAAATCGATGTTATCGTAGTCTGTTGCTTGGCAGTGGAATTGGGAATTTTTGGTCTCAAAATTGGGAAAAATTTACATTTTTTGGCATTGGGAATGGTACCGTTTATCGCTACCAGTTATATAAGGGAAAAAACGCTGGTATAAACAATTTCTAAAACGAGGCAAGCTACTGACAAACAAGTTGATAAAACAAGAATATCAACAATCTCATTTGAAGTCATCATTTCGCAAGTTTTATGGTTGATACAATGACCTTGTAAGCACATACAACCTATCATTGAGTCAAATGTTGTCTGGTGTTTTTCATACTAATTGTTAGGCCATTATTTATACACTAAACTGTCTATGGATTTATCCGTTTTCTGATCATGACTAGGAGCACACGGTGGGTGTGACTGGTCAGCAGGGGATGCTCACTCCTACATGGCACCTGATCCCACCTCTAAATTTTGAGGTACATGTTTGCTCTGCTCCAGATTTGTATGGTTTCATTGGACTTTTGAGATTAAATACTGTTCGTTATCTTCATATATCATTAAGAATGTGAAAGTTGTTTTTTACCAGGGATTAATATATTAAGTTCATCATGTGTTATTACATTAATAAAGAGGTAAATATTTTGTGAAATTTATATAAATGGCTTGATTGCTATTGTAATTTTAAATAATGATACATTCATTGTTAAAATGATTTATAGCTGGCTATAATATGGACTATAGAAAACTGTAGGGTAGAGCTATCATAAGACAATGCCTAATTTTGAGCTCTGAATGATTAGAAAATTGTTTTTTCTCAATGATTTCCTGTATTGTTTTATTTCAGTTTGTTGACAAAGGGGACAATTAAAAAAGCATACAAAAATAAAGTTGGTCGGGAAATTACAGCTGATGAAAAAAATACCCTGAATCTAGTTTTAAAGAATATTCTGACTGATATCAATCAAGTAAGTGCATATTAAGATAACCTGCAAAATTTCAAAAAAATACTTTCTAGTTCAGTGCAAAAAAACCCAAAAACAAATGTGTTTGTGAAACACTGATGCCCCCATATGGCAACTCATGGCGAAGATTAAAGAAAGGGGCATGCAAGGTGAGGACAATCCCCCACTCTAGGACAATATATTTCTCAATTTTTAAAGTTCACAAAAAAAGTTCAATTTTCTAAAATAATGTATTCCATAATGTCATCTTCAACACGTTTGATTCAATAATTTTATCGAATGACTTTTTGATTGAAAATTTGGTTTTAAAGTTGAAAGTAAAGCACATTTAAGTGGAAAATGGGATTTATTAGAGCCATAAACACATGATAAGAATGATTTTTGAATATGAATGGGTCAAGTCTCCATTCTTCATTAACTTTTATATGACGGAAAAGTAAATGTAAAATCTAATTCATGTTTCAAAAAATGGAGTCTGAACCCATTCTATATGAAAATCGATCATTTCTGGAAAAAAAATTTTATGCTTCAAAAAAACTTGTTTATTTAAATAACACTGACACACAAAAAAACAAGCAGACTTCATAACGTAGTGGTTAAAGGGTTTTTATCATGTCTCAGAATTTTTTGATATGACAAAGTTTACATGCTATTAAAATCATATATTTAAAAATATTTGCTAGAAAATTAATATTTTTGATGTTTCAGCGATTCAAAATTTGAATTTCTCAATATGCATATTTTGATCGCCGATGTTACACGCCAGTGCTCTGACGTCATAGGTGTCAATCCTGGTCAAGCGAAGTACTTATTGTGTATACAAAAGGGCTCATTTGTTGTGTCTATTAAACCTGTTAGAAAATAATTAAGTGATAATTGGATAATTGACAGCTAGTAAAGTATAATTTATGGTGTTAGGATGCACAAATGTGCATAAGAAAGGTTTTAGGAAGAATTTTTTCCCCACATTTCCTGGACTTAGTCGAGAGATGAAAGGGGGCCTTTTTCTGCAAGTCGTTTATGTCCAATCGATCAGGAATTATTTTTTCTGTCCTATAAAATATTTTAAGGAAAGATACATTTAAAAAAAATAATAAATGACAAACACGCATTTTTAAAAAGTCGCACAGAATCTAGTAGGAATGTTGTGAACTTCGTAATGGCGTACCGCGCCGTTGAATGTTGAAGAAGTGTCATTTCTAGTACATGATATTCACTGCTAGAACAGATAGAAGATATACAGGATTTATTTATATATAATTAATTAAAATAATAATGAAGGAGAATTTAAAATTCCCATATTTATAAATGTTTACGAAGTTAAATTTGAGCAATTCGTTCTATTAAGTCGAAGTCCCGAGTTGTCAACGGCTTCTTCTTCGGTGACCTCTCCAATTGTCGTCATATTTTCTTGTTATTTCTCTCTGCTAGACGTTCATACATGAAAGATTGACCGTCCATAACCAAAGGAATATAGTCGATGTCAAAATTTCAACTGGCCATTTGTGTATTCGATTTATTGAGCGTAAAAATATATTCAATATATTTTTTCTTACGACAAGCTTTACGAGTTTTATTGACCATTGAAACCTATGATGTTTAAGTACCACGTGACCCCTGTCTAATTAGTGGAGATTTTTACTCCGAGGACCCTTTATTACGGGCGTTTTATCATCTAATTACGACTGTTTTCATTATTATTTCATAATTAAATGATAATTATATGTTTCAAGAATATAATAGTGTTTCATTTTTAAGAAATTTAGATACGTGATAAAAACCCTTTAACATTCAGTCTTACGCCTAACCATGAGCCTTGAAGACAGTTCGAATCATGCGTGAAGTTTTTTTTTCCCCTTTTTTGCATACCTTAAAAACAGTGAAAAATAAATTATTTGTAATTAATTTATTCAACAAAATATAGGAAGCAAATGTGTAAAAGATTATATTGACGATATAATTTTTGAAAAAATATAACTTTATAAAATTTTATGGCCAAGATTAAAGTTTTTCAAAAGTAAGTCAAACCTCAAGGTCAAGACCAAAGGGTCAAAATTGTTGGTACCTAGATTTTCTTGCAAAAAATACACTTTTGTTGTGTGAAACCCAAGCTCCAACCAATCAAAAGTTATGGCGAATTTTAAAGTGTTTTAAAAGTGAATAAAACTACAAGGTCAAGGTCAAAAAGTAAAAAAAAACATTTTCACCCAAGGAAAGGTAACTTTAACCTTTGCCATGAGCTACCATACAGGGGCATCAGTCTTTCACAAACATTTTGTTTCTTTCTATATATGGGTATCCCCATCCTGGGGCACTCAAAATAGAAGGTGCAAAAAATATTTTTTTTTTAAAATGACAAATTTACAAAAATTACAAACCAAAAACTTACAGAGACCGTTGTGAAAATTTCTATGGGGTTTACTCCAAAGAATGGCAACCAAGGGTCATAACATTTGAAAAGTGTGGCTGTCTATTTCAGACGTGTAATTCATTTGTCAAGATTATTTCAGAAATGAATCATAATTTTTTCTTTGATAGAGGTATCAAACGAAACTCGAACAGAAAACTTCATCAGTGTGCATAGTGGCACTATGATAGTGTGTTGAGGAAAAAAAGTTTTCTGTCCAAGTTTTCTTTGATACCTCAATAAAAAAAAAAAAATATAAGATTTGTTTCTTAACACATTATATATGTGTCTTTCAGTTATGAGATTCAACATAAAAACAAATGATTGTCCTACATGTAGCTTAACTTAAATAATACATGTATTTGACTTAAACATGCATACGTGCAGTAATACATTAAGGAACAAACAAAATTTTCAAATTCTGTAATTACCAGCTGTTTCTAACATAAAAATGACTTACCATATGTTTTGTTACTTTTTGTTCAATTCTTTTGCGTGTGAATGTACTTTGGATTTTCCCTGGTAAGCCGATATCTTAAAGGTAAGTAAATGTAAACTACTCAAAAGTCTTGGTCATCGAAATTTTGGATTTCATTTGTGCATATCAACACCCTGTTCACATATTACATCTAACAGTAAAATCTCTTAGAAACTCTTGTCCATTGTTTAACACTCTGAAAGGATTCAGTCCTCGCTTGAGGTGTTCTTTTTCTCATGCCTGCATTTTTTAAGAATTAATGGTATTCCAAGCTTTGGTATTAAAAAAAATTGTCAGTTCTGTTGTTAATACCAGTTATCTCAAAGAAACACCTTTCTTTCCCATAAATGTACATTGTTGTCATGCAGACGATCCAGGATTTGGTAAGCAATGGGGGAAAATTCATAAGTAATTCAGGAATGTATCGGACAAGTTTTAGAATTCAGGAAAATAGCATAGAAATATTTCATTTTTCGTTTACATGATAAGGGGAAATATGTACATTGTGCACATCAAAAAACAGTTCTGGCTAATTTGTGAAAATTTATTGATGTATGTATCAAAGAAATTTTTCCACCAATCAGAAATGCCAGGGATAGACATTAACTTTTAGATTCACTTGCCCTTCGGGCAAGTGATCTGAAATGTTGACTTGTCTGAATGCAAAACTTGGTTGCCCAAAATTAGTTAAGAAGAATATCTATTTCTTTATTACTGTAAATGTTATGATAAGAAAAAATGTGACCAAATACACTACTGTCAACTTGGCAAGTTGAGCTACATGAAAAAATTTCGACGCTGCATCTATACATAAATGTGTGCCACTGTTCTTGTCAATTTAACCCGTTAACACACACTGCCATGCAGCAGCAACCCTCTGTTTCCTTATTTTTAAAAATTATTTTCGGTAGGATCCTTTTGTGAGTCGTAATTTTCAAAGGTAACTGTGAAGCAACTCTTAAGGATATAATGTGTTACTTATATTCTGCGTGGAATAAATAATCTAATTTCCTAGTGGACTTTTGTGAGGAGCGCTGACTTTACAATCAACGTCTTACTTTTTCACTAGGACAAAATATGGAAGCTCTTTTGTGATATAAAATTTAAGCTTATTAGTTAATTAAACTATAATAATGGGCCATTTCAATGCGAATAGTACGTTGTCTAGGAAGGGAACGGCAACCACCCTACCCTCAACCCCCTCCCTTCCAACATTGACCAACTCTTGCTTAGTTTTCCTTCCGGAATGTTTTTTCTTCCTTATTTGATTCCCTCAGAAAATGAGATTGAAAGGAGATACTAATCCCCACGAATAAATAATTTAAGCTAATTTATGTAATTCTGCCTCCCATCATCTCTTGCGTTGATTGCATACCAGTTAATCATGTAAGTGCTTCAAACAAAAAATATATATAACCACTATTAATGTTTTCTTATCTTTTATCAATTCTGTACCTCCGTACAGTAAGTCCAGTAAGAAGTTAACAAAGCTTTAGACGTAGAGCGTATTTACCATGAAAGAAAACAGAATAACGAACCCGAATTTAAATCCACAGTATAATCTAGAAACGCTACCAAGGAATTCCAAACGCAAATTAATATCAGTCAGGTACCTGGCGGAATTCAAATGTTCAATTTATTGTTTTATTTATAAATTATTGTAAACTAAATAAATATGTACATTTCTATAGGAAAAATTCACTTGCCCGATCGGACAAGTACACCTAAAGTTTCACTTGCCCGAACTGAGAATTTACATGTCCCGGGCAATCGGACAACTGTTAATGCAGGGATCGACATTAACGGTTGTCCGATTGCCCGGGGCAAGTAAATTCTCAGTTCGGGCAAGTGAAACTGCTGATGTACTTGTCCGATCGGGCAAGTGAATATTTCTGATAGATTTTTTTTTATCTTACATTAGTTTATTAACAAAACAATAAATTGAATGTCTGATTTCTACCAGGAATATGACATTGTTTTTGCATTCGGAAATTCCTCGGTAGTGTTTCTATATCATACCGTTTATTCAAAAATCAGGTTTGTTATTCCGTTTTTCTTTCGTGGTTGTTGACAAAAATAAGTTTTTCCTCTGACAACTTTCTTTACATTCTTATTATGAAATATAAAATAGTTCCTTTATTCACTCACAGAATATAAAGAACACCAGTTATTCTCGGTGCACGATGTATTCTGATCAGGATATGTATGTTTCGAAACATGGTAACTTTTTTCCTTTAGCGTGGCATCAGTTTTCTGGGGAAAAAAATTCAAAATTTACAAAAAGATCGTACAGAAAATACTTTTCAAAGATATGAATTTTATTTTAAAGGAAATATTGCTGCATGGCAGTGTGAATTACAAGTATTTAAATTGTAGCATCACCAGCACATCATTTTTTTTCTTCTGGCACTTAACTTAACCATGTTAACATATATAGAGTAATATCTCACTTAATTTACAATAATAAATTTTGTTACCGGTTTTCTCTTCTTTCTTATATTTTGGGCAACCAAGTTTTGCATTCGGACAAGTCAAAGTTTAAGTTCACTTGCCCGAAGGGCAATTGAATCTGAAAGTTAATGTCTATCCCTGTAATTTCAATCCCTGAATGCTGATTTCTTATTAATCTAATAAATATTTAATGATTATATTTTCACAATTCTTGTTCCTTCTGATTTGAGTTTTTTTTTTTTTTTTTTGGTAGCATGGTGGAGATAAGGAAAATGCTCAATCTCTTGCCTCACCTTTAAAAAGAGTAGAATCCCTAGGAAAACATTCACCTGTTAAAAAGAAAGGTTAGCAGGACTTGTTCAAGAATTATATTACTATACTTATACTGATGGAAATGGTTAAAAAAATCATAAGAATTGGCATTTATCTGTAGCTTGCATGAGACTCAAGTGAGTGTTATTATATACAGAGAAGAATAAAACTTTTTTGTGCCGTCCTTTCAATGATTGATTTGTTTCTGTCTGTTCGCTCTGTCCATCTGTCCATTTCTGTGTGTAACACTTTTGTGACAGGGTAATATCTCAAGAAGTCTTTGAGCTTTTGCAATAAAACTTGATATCACCACTTCCTATGGCCTAGAGAGGATCTCTCTAGATTTTGAGGTCAAAAGGTCAAAGGTCATATGATCATTCATTCTATCTATGTGCAACACTTTCGTTTGCAAGCAATATCTTTAAAAGTTTTTGAGCTTATGCAGTGAAATCATATATCATAACATCCTATGGCCTAAACAGGTCAGGTACACTACCTTTGATGGAAGTCACTTTTCAACACGTGACGATGTTTTTCGTCAAACCCATTCTCCAATCAATTGAATGAGTCGCAAAGCATGACAGTCCACTATATGATTTAATAGCTACATGTGGTTTTGGTCGGTTTACTGCACAATATTTACTTGGTCACCAGAAAAACCATAAAGCTTCTTTTTTACTTTATAAGGCTGAAATTGAAAGATTATATTTCAAAGACACTGTTCCATGCTCACATTTAATATTTGAGTTTTAGATGATTCTGGTAAGCAACTAATGCTTCAAATACCGTACAAACGCTTTGATGTTTGAGTTTACAGGAAAAAATTGAAGATATCGAGGAGTTAAATAATAATTGCGCACCTTGTAATGCTGTCTAAAACTATGTACATGTATATAAGTGAAAAAAAACCCCACACATAATGCTTTATCGACACAATAGCACCTACGTCTCTGTCTCTGTGACAGTGGTGAATAATGTATTGCATGTTGATATAAGGCTTCTTAAAGAAAATTTTGTAAATGTGAGCATAGAAATGAAAGATTGTACATCATTTTCAATATCTCTCATAAACATCAAAAAAGAATTAAAAATGAGTTTCCTAGGGACAATTCAAGTTGCCCTTTATTTTCAACACATCTGAATTCGTATTGATGCTTGTAGTAGCCCATAATGCATTCATTCAACAGTCGGTAAAGTAAACAGATAGCAAATTTATGCTGACGTCAGAAAATCTAGTGGTCTTGTCCTGCTAAAGAGGGCCTGTTTTGATTTTGAGGTCAAAAGGTCAAAGGTCATGGTCATAAATTTATACTTTTTTTACCTTTTGACCTTAAAACCAATATAGGGTTTTTTTAAGGCCATGGGGATTTGTGATATAAAATTCATTGCAAAATCTGAAAGGCTTTGTAGCTCACCTGATCTGAAAGCTTAAGTGAGCTTTTCTGATCACCCATTGTCCATTGTCAGTCCGTCTGTAAACTTTTCACATTTTCAACTTCTTCTAAAGAACAACTGGGTCAATTTTAACCAAATTTGGTACAAAACATCCTTGGGTGAAGGGGAGTTTAAATTATTAATATGAAGGACCAAGCCCCATTCCAAGGGGAGATAATAAAAAAAAAAGATAAAAATAAGGTGGGGTCATTAAAAAATCTTCTTCTCAACAACCACTGGGCCAGAAAAACTGAAATTTATGTGAAAGCATCCTGGGTAGTGTAGATTCTAAATTGAATAAATTGTTGCCCCCAGGACTTGGGTTGGGCCACAACAGGGAATCAAAGTTTTACATTGAAATATATAGGAAAAATCTTTAAAAAATCTTCTCATGAACTGCTAGGCCAGAAAAGCTTAAACTTATGTGAAAGCTTCATTGGGTAGTGTAGATTCTATATTGTTCAAATCATGGCCCCTGGGGGTAGGGTTGGTCCACAATAGGGAATAAAATTTTTACAGTGAAATACATAAGAAAAATCTTCAAAAATCTCTCAAGAATTACTAGTCTAGAAAAGGTGAAGCTTATGTAGAGACTGTCAAATTGATGCATCTTAGTTCCTTGGAGTACGTCAACTGAAAAGTAGATCACCCACTTTTGAAATTTATGGCTATATTCAAATATATCCTATACTAATTGGCCTAGAATCATCAAACTTTGTCAGTTGATGCATCTCAAGTTCTCAGAGTACGTCAACTGAAAAGTAGATCACCGTGACCTATTTTGAGATTTTATCGCTATATCATAATTTTTTCAGATACTAATTGGCTTAGAATCATCAAACTGTCAGTTGATGCATCTTGCCCAATGGTTCCTCAGAGTACGTCAAGTGGAAAGTAGATCACCGTGACCTCATTTTGAAATTTTATGATATTTTAAACAGGGAATTATTTAATCTTAGACTAATTATAAATCCTGGATTTTCAGAAAATTCTGAAATCAGGTGTAGTGCCTGAAAACTAACTTAGTTTTGCTTGAAATTATCAGTTTTCACTGTAGTAGATACTGTCTAAATGGGTAAGTGTGTATATAAGAAGCTAATATAATTGAATTATTGTTTATTTTTATTCATTCATGTTTTTATTGTGTTCCAATTTCATATTTTTATTGTTTATTTTCAGTCACAACTATTATTTCTAGGGTAAATGTCTTTTATGCAGTGTATCTGGTGTTCTACTGTTGTATCTGTAGAAAATAATGACGCATGCGCAGATGGGGGTTAGTCGATGCCTGGCATCAAAAAACGACTAACCCCCATCGGCGCATGCGTCATTATTTTCTCGCTAAATTCTGCAGTTTTCTGCAATCAAACGGCGATATTAAAATAATCCATCGAATGTCCGTCATTAAATTATGCTACGACTTCACTGTTATCGCAAAACGTTCCTTCCGAGTTGTATATATCCATCAAACATTGCCAACAACGCACAGCTTCATAGTCCCCATGAATGAAGACCCGACTGAAGAAATGACTCGCAGCAAACGAAAATACATACCGATGCGTCTTCAGCACGACAACTGCAAACACTTACATATGTTTTTACAATCGTAACAACTTTTAAATCCAACGAAATGGTCAGAAAAACGCAGCGATGTAAACACTACCAAATTACAGCAGCTTCCTTATGCAGACAACCACTCCTCGACGTCACAGTCGTAAAATACGACGTCACAGGTACACTGTTTTCCCGAACTTTTCTGATGCAAAATGGCGATTAAGCATTGTACGTAATATAAGGCATACTGTCTTTGTTGTTCAGCACACGTACTTTTAATTGTTTTGTAAAAAGTTCTCCTTAAACCAGGTAATTGAATATCACAAGAGGAAAGGAAACTGGAATGTCTTAAGTACAGAAATCGGTCTTTGAAATTTGAAGATCCATGATCCGCCCACTTGTTTCACCTCCAGCTAAGAGGTGCATATTTAGTGTACAAATCGAGAGTTTTAAAGCCATTGTGACGTCACCCTCAATAATTTGTAACAGATCAGTGAAATCTTACACATGAATCAATAAAAAAAAAATAATAATAGAGTTAAACTGTGGGAAACGTTAGTTTGAATTCTTGTGTACCATAAACAAATTCCCAAGCCTTTGTGACATTACTCTTAAACTTGCAATGACGGGGAACAGAGAAAAATACTGCGTCATAAATATAATAATAATAGTATTTGAATACACCAATCAGATTAAACCACCCTGTGTCCTCTTTTCTTGTACTTTACAAACATATTTTTTTTTTTAGACAGAATACCCCCCCCCTTGGCGAGTACTCAGTTCAAATATTTTAATTTTTATTATTTTCATCAAAATATATATATATATATATATATTTGTATTGGCTCAAAAAAAAAAATTGAACAAGTTAAATTGATGCAAAGCATCAAATATATTCTCTTTAGAGAAGTGGACAGGCTTTCGCCTACATCCACTTCTCTTCGCAAGCCTTCATGTTTTGATTCTGGAAAACGTGTAAATCTCGAACCGGTGACGGTCTACACTTCAACTGACATTTCGTCTAAAATACGTCTGAATGTACGTAATAGACGTGTTATATTATCAATTTTAACATAAATACACACAATTGTCACAAGAAAACTGACCTTTAAGTATTGTTAATCCATTTTCACAAGTTCTCCATCCCGGATTTAAATTATGTGCAAGTAACTCTTGAAGTATTCAAAAATCTCTAATTCGGATAAAAATGGAAACTATTTTTACAAAATAATAATGAAACGAGAGAAATCGTCTACTCTGTTTAAACTAACGAGACAGTATTTCCTCAAGTTTCGTTCAAATTCTTTTGATCTTTGTTTTAAATCTTTTTTCATTTCTCGGGAAAGGTAGAGTTAATATCGTTTAAAAATAAAAGAAAATATTTTTTAGTATTGTCAGTGAGGAAGTAATGAAGTAATTTTTAAGCTCAAATTTACATTTAAATTGTACTAAAATAGTAAAAATAAGTAAAGGTAATAATATTAATTTTGAATAATATGCTAAATCAAAAGTGAATTGTCCAAAACTTTTTTTGAACATTAAAATACGTCTTCGCCAATTTTCCAAATTATCCGACTTAAAATTTTCAATTTTTTCTAATAAGCTGTGGTAGATAAACATTAGTTTAAATCCGGGATGGAGAACTTGTGAAAATGGATTAACAGAACTTAAAGGTCAGTTTTCTTGTGACAGTTGTGTGTATTTATGTTAAAATTGTTAAGACAACACGTCTATTACGTACATTCGGACGTCTTTTAGACGAAATATCAGTTGAAGTGTAGACCGTCACCGGTTCGAGATTTACACGTTTTCCAGACTCAAAACATGAAGGCTTGCGAAGAGAAGTGGATGTAGGCGAAAGCCTGTCCACTTCTCTAAAGAGAATACATCAAATAGACCTCAAAAATATATAAAGCAAAAATATATAGAGCATTCTGAAGTATTTCCAAAAGAAAGAGCACACCCCCCCCCCCCCCCCCCCCAAATGCATTTATGGCAGAATCTAGGAGAGGTGGATCTAAGGAAAAAAAAATTTCTTCAGTGG